TTTTTTCCCAGTAGACCAACAATTGCACATCCTCTTCCTCATCATCCACTTAAATAGTCTTTCAAACATTTTTCTCTGTACTGCAAGCCAAACAAAACTGAGATACCTTCTTTTTGTCCTCCACAATCATTCAAATCAGTTACCAAAAATCACATTTCCTTCTAACATCTTCAAATCAAATACCAGCAATTTACATTTCTTTCTTGTTTCATGATCATTTCTCAGAAAAAGCAACAAATCTACATATGGGATTTCATCCCACTTATTCGCTTATTCTGCCTCCTGCAAAACAACATGTTTGAGGAGAGCAGGCGTCCTTGCTTTGTTGTCGGTTGGTCAGTTCATTTCTCGGTGCTCCCCCCTTGCATCCCTCTCTTCTTGGCTCACTTCTTCAATGGGCTCCTTGTTCTTTCTCTCCTCAAGGCCACCTTAGTGACAAGGCTATGTGCATTGTTACAATAGTGATCAGAATCATTAACCCTTATTTGAACAAATCCAAAAATCATYATGTTAAGTCCAAGCCTTTTTGCCATTTATCAATTCCCAATTTCACAATCATTAATTTCCCCTCAAAGTCTTCACCTCCATGCTCTTGTCCTAAAAGCAAAATCAATAACAGCGTGATTCTGTAGTGTAGCATGTCTATCTATATCTGTATCTATATCTTATATCTGTATCTATATACCTATATACCTATAGATCTATATCTAAATTATAATAACAGTTGTGTAGACTGGGCCAGATAGCCTGGCTCATTGTCCGTTTTAATTTCTCACACACTAAAGCATAACGATTACTTAGCAACTCCCTGCAAAATGAAGCAGCTACAGAGCAATTACTTAAGAGAGAATATTTTCTAGCCAGATAGTGAGACCATTCTTCCCATGGACGAGAGGTGGCCGACAGGCTCCAAGCTTGCGGGMGTCCCCGCAGAGACAATGTAGGTSTCAGTTGGAGTCTCTCCCCGTCTCAGATCCACAATTGTTTTATATCTGGCGTATCCTGTCATGTAGGGCCCRTACGTGTCAGGAGGCGACCAGGGGGCGGGCAAAGCTCCACCTTTATCATTATGCAACTTTCCCTGGTGTGCGCATACACGGCCACCAGTGAGGGTCTCTGGTCTCGTTATGAGGGTGATACCTTTATTACCTTCATCTCCCTTGCTTCGTGTTTAATCTGTGAACTAGCTTACAGGTCTGCTCTAGCATTGCAAAGGCAGCCAGAAAGTGGCATCAGGCAACATGCGTATGACTGCAAATATGTAATATAGAGCAGCATTCAGTTATTTGTTGTCCTTCAGACCATAGGTCCAAGAGTACCGAAAAGAGTGAATGTTAGTGACATCTGTCTGCAAACCTATGTAAAGTAGCATCTGGCACAAAGCATAAGCACTCTGGTGAAGGAAGATGTGAGACAACCACGTCTGCTGGAATATGTCTGGAAGGGTGGCCACCCCGGTGAGGCCATCAGCATCCTGATTTCCTTCCATCAGAGGACCAGGCAATGTTGTAGGAGACCTTATAGGCGTTATAAAGTAAGSAGCATGGTGATGCTTCAAGAAATATAAAGGTCGTTGAGAAAAGTGTAACGCCAAGGATCAGCTACTTCCTTCAAGCAGCCTCCTTCTTGTCAGTTAATCAGTCCTGTAACTTATGCTAAGAGAAACAATATTAATTACATGTGAAAACATTCGAAAACAGTGAATCACCATTACCAGTTACACAGTTTGCAAAATACCCGTAGACTCAAACGTTTTGCCACCCCCCCCCGCCTTGGGACCGCTCAGCTGCTGCCAGCAGGCTAACCTTGGAGTAAGATAACTGAGCAACTTTTGCTCCGTGCAGGAAGGGGGGAAAGGAGGGGGAGCGACCTTGCTTGCTGCTGCTTCCACTGCTTCCCTGTGCCAGGGAGGAGGAGGAGGCATTGCTTTCTCATGGCTGTAGGAGGCAGGCAGGCATGGATTCACCAAGGGGAAGTCATGTCTGACGAACCTCATAGCCTTCTATGATGGAATGACAGGCTGGCTGGATGAGAGGAGAGTCGTGGATGTTGTCTACCTTGACTTCAGCAAGGCTTTTGACACCATCTCCCATACCATCCTCATACGGAAGCTCTGGGAGAGTGGACTAGACGAGTGCACGGTGCAGTGGATCGAGGGCTGGCTAGATGGCAGAGCTCAGAGGGTGGTGATAAATGGGGCTGAGTCCAGTCGGAGGCCTGTGGCCAGTGGTGTCCCCCAGGGGTCAGTACTGGKCCCGGTGCTGTTCAATTTATTCATCAATGACCTGGACGAGGGCATGGAGTGCACCCTGAGCAAGTTTGCGGATGACACCAAGCTGGGTGGAGTGGCCGACACTCCGGAGGGCTGTGCTGCCATCCAGAGGRATCTGGACAGGCTGGTGAGTTGGGCAGAGAGGAACCTCATGAGGTTCAACAAGGACAAGTGCAGGGTCCTGCACCTGGGGAGGAATAACCCCAGGYACCAGTACAGATTAGGGGYYGACCTGYTGGAAAGCASCTCCAYGGAGAGGGACCTGGGAGTCCTGGTTGACACCAAGTTAACCATGAGTCAGCAGTGTGCCCTCGTGGCCAAGAAGGCCAATGGGATCCTGGCCTGCATCAGGAGGAGTGTTGCCAGCAGGTCAAGGGAGGGGATTCTGCCCCTCTACTCAGCTCTGGTGAGGCCGCACCTGGAGTACTGTGTGCAGTTCTGGGCTCCCCAGTATAAGAGGGATGTGGAGCTTCTCGAGAGGGTCCAGAGAAGGGCAACCAGGATGATTAAGGGAATGGAACATCTCTCGTACGAAGAGAGGCTGAGTGAGCTGGGCCTGTTTTCTCTGGAGAAGAGAAGGCTCAGAGGGGATATGATTAACATGTATAAGTTCATGAAGGGAGAATGYATGGAGGAAGGGGACAAGCTGTTTTCACTGGTGGCCAGCGATAGGACAAGTGGAAATGGCCATAAACCGAAAGACAGGAAGTTCCATCTCCATGTGAGGAAGAACTTCTTTACTGTGAGGGTGACAGAACAGGCTGCCTAGGGAGGTTGTGGAGTCTCCTTCTCTGGAGGTCTTCAAAACCCGCCTGGATGCCACCCCGTGCCACATGCTGTAGGTGTGCCTGCCTGAGTGGGAAGTTTGGACTAGATGATCTCTAGAGGTCCCTTCCAACCTTAAATATTCTGTGATTTTGTGATTCTGTAATATTTTTTCTAAGTCACCAATGTTATGTCACATTCTTATTGTATATGAATAAGCTAATAGTTCATCATATACAAAAACCTGCCAAAGTTAATTGTGCTGCATGAGAAGSAAAGGTCAAAGACAATCTTTTCACATTGGTCAGCAATGGTCCCTTCCAACCTTAATGATTCTATGACTTAGGTCTATTTCTTAAAAGGGCTTTATGTCATATTGGTCTGCTATGTTTTAATTATTAATTCATCCCCTGAAGCTTAAATAGCTTTATTTCTTGCGTAGTACCACACAGTATGACTATGGATTAAATCTCAGTCCATGCGTTCATTTCTTCTTAAAGAAATGGTACCCTTTAACAAAATCTGAAAACAAAAAGAAAGGTTATCACATTGAACTGCATATCTGAAATAAAAATTATCAATGCAGTTTTATTATGACAAGCATTTCATATATGACAAGCATGTTCATTTACTTGCAGTTAAGATGCAAGGTAGATAATTTCTTGGTAGGTTCATTAAAACAGACATCAAATATTTATCATGTATGGGCACCAAATATTTTATTTAAAATATTTTTTGATTACTGTGTTCACAGCAGGCTTTGAAACATGATGGCAAGTTTGATATTTTTGTCAGATCCTGGAATTCTCATAACAGAATGTTTACCTTTGTTTTATTGACTCTTTTCTGCTCAGCAGACAAAAAATCTAGATCAGAGTTATCCTAAATAGTAGTTTATGAGTTCTGTATTGAGTTATATTTAAAGCATGTACACCAATTTATTAGAACTGTTTGTATAAACTATTTTAAACAATATATTGCATTTTAAATATGTATTTTACATAATTGAGGTTGGTAGAAATATATAACCAGGAAAAAATATATATTCCTTAGTAAAAAGAACTTTAAAGGCATGTCTGTAAAAATGTGTTGAGCAACATTCCTTATTTCAACTAAGATGGTCACTTGTACCCTCACAGTCCAGCAACCTTGTCACTACAGACCAATTTCAAACTCCAGCCCAACTCATATCTTATTTAAAATACTTCTAGCACTTCTGACTACATGGCACTTACGTAAGGAACTTCAGAAACAAGTAGGAGAAGGCATCAAAGTTATATTATAAGCAAACCTAAAAAAYGCTTGCAAGTAATCCTCCTTTTTCCTTTGACCTCACTACTTTGAGAGCACTTTGATATTTTCCCATGGAATTTCAGTCTTACACTTCTGTTGTCAAATAATGGGTACCCAATATGGAAGTAAAAGGTGAAAAAAACTCAAAGTCCTTCTATAATACTCTAATTCCTTCTATCAAGTGACTGGCAGAATTTCTTGAAATTTTTCTCCCATAATAAATTGGTTAGCTTCAAAATCCTTTATAAACATGAATTCAAGCAAGGAAAGCACTGAGTTTTAACTAGTCTACTTTTTTAGAGTGAGTCTATTGAAATGAAATATTATTTTA